GGCTTCCTTGATAAGGTATTAGCAGCTTTATTTTTAGCCCCCCTCTTGTACTCAATCGAGAAATCAAAAGTCATCAACTTTTAAATGCTAGGTATTTGAAGATCAGTATGGATATGTTGCTCTAATAAGTATTTTACAGCTGTATGATCAGTCTTGACTATAAATGGTCTTCCCAAGAGATAATGTGACCATTTAGTGACAACAAATATAAGAGTTAATAGTTCCCTATCATAAACAGACATTGTTTGGTGTCTAGGTACCAATGATTTGATGATGTAGGCTATGGGATGACCTTGCTGCATGAGTACAACTCATATGACTTTACCACTTGCATCAGTCTCCACCATGACGGCTTTGAGAAATCAAACATTACCAACACAGGGGCAGAGATCAATACTTGTTTCAACTACCAAAAGCTGCAGTGGTTTCAGAATTTCATGTGTAACCATCCTTCTTGGGTAGGTCATGCAATGACCTGCAAATGGCTCTATTGCCCTGTATAAACCTCATATAATACCCAGCAAGAACTAGGAAGCTTTTTAACTGTTTGACATTAGTACGAACAGGCTAGCGTTCTACTGCTATAATTTTCTTAGGATCTGTAGAGACCCCTTCTTGATTGATTTAATGGCCTAGATACTCCACATTAGGAACTCCAAATGCACACTTAGACATCTTAGCATACAATTGGAATTTGTGCATTTGTTCAAAGACAACTTTCACATGTGCAATATGGTCAGACATACACATGTTATATATTAGAATATCATAAAAAACACTAATATTGTCTTCTTGAGCAATGGTTTCAAATTGAATTCATGAGATTTTGAAAGGAATATGGAGCATTAATTAGGCCAAATGGCATAACCAGGAATTCATAATGACCCTCATGAGTTTAAAAAGTTGTTTTATAAGCATCACCGTCAGCCATTCTTAGTTGATGATACCCTACTCTAAGATCAATCTTAGAAAATACCACAGCTCATCCCAATTGATCCAACAAGTCTTCTATAATAGGTATAGGAAACTTATCTTTGATAGTCAGTTGATTCAACTCCCTTTAATCAATACATAACCTTCAGCTTCCATTTTCCCCCCAACCAACATAACTGGAGATGCATATGAATTTGTGTTATGTTGTATGACTCCTTGATCTAACATCTCTTGTATTAACTTCTCTATGATATCCTTCTTGACCCCAGAATACCTATAGGATCTTTTGTTGATAGGATTGGGCCCTTCAACCAAGGGTATTCTATGATCAAAATCACCTCTGTGGAGTGGAAGAGTGCTAGGCATAGCAAAGATGCTGGCATACTGCTCAATCAACTCAAATAGTTCAGGGACAATTACTTCTTCTTGTGCAGTCTGAATATTATGGCAAGAAGTACCTTCCTCTTCACTAGTTGGTACAGTTAGCATAAAGAATTGTGTACTTCTTTCTTCAGTTTTATTAACAGTCTTAGATTTAATTGACTTTAGCTGATTATTTGTTCCTCTTAGAACATGTCTTTTACCTTGATACATGAACTTAATGGTCCTATTTTTGAAGTCAACTAGGATTCTACCCAAGGTATTTAGCCATTGTACTCCTAAAATAATATCTACATTTTCCACTAGTAATAGCAGGAAATCATAAGTGAAAGTAATACCTTTAAGAGCCATTGAAGATTTCTACAGACTGAGGTTGTTTGCACCTTCCTTACATCAGCTACACTTATTGACCGGGCCATAATATTGCTTGCTTGACACCCCAAATTCTTGGCTATGTCTTGGTCAAAAAAGTTGTATGTACTCCCAGTGTCAATAAGAACTTGTAGAGGCCTTTCTCATGGTATCCAGTAACTCTAATGGTTTGATAACCTCTTGCACCAGTAAAGGCTTGCAGTGATATAGTCATAATTTCATTTGTCCCCTCTATAATCTCCTACAGAGAACCTTCTCCTGTCTCATTCACAACTATATCTTCATCAACAACCTCCACCATATGGATCTGCCTATTTGAGTTATATTTATGTCCTTGGACATACTTCTCATCACAGAAAAAATAAAGACCCTTAGCCCTCTTGTCATTCATTTTTGATGTAGTTAACCTTCTCCCTGGGATTCTATTAGATCTACTCTGGTGTGATTCAATTGGCTTCTTGAATGCAGGTTGAGGAGTAGCAGTTTTGTGGAAATACTGTGACTTATAGTGATTTGGAGTAGGTAGCAAACCACCCTGAGCTGTCTTGCTCATAGGATTCAGACCCTAAGTATTTGCTTGAGCTTCAAACACTTCCTCTTGCAGTCTTGCATTCTTGTAGTCCTGCATTAGTGTTCTTGGGGCTTCAACATTTACTAATTTGTTAAGCTTATGTTTCAAATCTCCTAAGAAATAACTAATAATATTTTCATTGAAAAGATTCACCCCAGTAAATAACCTATCAAACTCACCTTGATATTCTCTCACACTACCAGCTTGCACCAGATTCTTAAGAGATTCCATGTGATCTTCAAATTCTTCTCCAAACCTCTCATTCAATGTTATTACATACTCAATCCAAGTAGGATCGATCAATAAGTTTCTAGCTTTGACATATGTCATATTCCAAAAAATAGTCTCTTCTTCCAAATGGATTGAAGTAACCTTAACTCTCTGATCAAATGGAATTTCATCCATAACAAAAAGTTGATCTACCTTATACAACGAAATCTTCAAATCATGGCCAGAGAATTTAAGAAATTCTAACTTCGAGTATCTAGAAAGAAATTACCAGCAGTTGTTTGATTTCCTTGATTGTCTCTCATCCTTCTTTCAGGTACGACCTCCACAGAACCATCTTTGTCTTCTGATGAAGATTCAGTTCTTCGAGCTTTAATTCCATTGCCTTTTCCACTGAGATTGTTAATGGTTGATCGCATCTCCCCAATCTCCTTATCCGTTATTAAATTACGCTTATTCATGCTCGACATTCCCTCCATGAGTTTCTGTAACTGCAATTGGATCTGGACAAGTTTTTTTCCCCATATCTTCTGATTGCTGCTCCTGGCTTCTATTTCTAGTCACGATTTCACTGTATTTAGTCATGATGTGAAGCCGAGAATCGTGTTGCTCTGATACCAATTGATTCACATGGTGCAATCAAAGAGAAAAGTGATCTAGTAAATGTAAGGATTTCGAAGAACAATGAACTAAAGTCGGGGTAGTACTGAGAATTTAGCTTGAGAAAAGTTTAAGATTAAGAGTAGAATGATATTTTCATGAATGAATCCATTGTTCATATTACACTCTATATATTGAAGATCTCAGCTCAATACTCTAACTAACTGTAACAAACTTCCTAACTAACTTTGTGACTTCAACTAACTCAACTAACTTTCGGAAGCTTCTACAGCATAACTAACTGCTTAGCTGTGTAACTAACTCTAATATTCTCAGCTAAGTGCTAACAACAGCAGCTAATTATCATCATTAGTAATTGCAACAGAAATGGTATAGTAGAAATCAGAGACCTGTCAGTCTTTATTTTATGCTTTCTCAAAGTGTTTTAGCTTAACTAAAAAACTGTATATAAAAAGCCAAAAACTTGTCAATTTTATTTTACTATTACTCTCTTCGTCCCAAATTAGTTATATATTATGTTTCGCTTTTCGAAAGTTAAATTAACTAATATTTAAAGTTAAATTAGAATAAATCAACTTATTATGTTAAATCTTAAATATTCTAATATTATATAATAATAAAAAAGTACTACAAGTTAAAACATTTCTCATGTCAATATAATAAAAAAATTAATTTAAAATATTAGTAAAAAATTATATAATTTGACTCTTGAGAAAAGAAACATGACAACCAATTTAAAAAGCAGAGAATATTATGTTAAGCGTTAAAGTCAAAATTATACTATTAACTAGATTTGAAATTGTATAGAAAAAGTATGAAAATAAACCTTAATTAACGGTAATATTCCTATTCTAGATCTATTAATTTGGTTAGAGGAATATAATGTGGTGAGTGGACAAGAAGACGACAAACTCATATGAAGCGTTAGCTAGGAATGGGGCGTCACTGCTTGCCATTTGGATGACAAAAGCAAAAGTTACTTGTCGACTTTACTTCTGTACTACTTGACATCTTATTCAGTTCACAATTGCCCCATTTTACTTTCTTAAATCCACTCTTTCTCCCCCACAAATAATTGTATTCCACTATATATGGTTATTTTATCTTGAGTTTAACTTGTATACTTGTCAAGTCAGAGTTAACCAAAGGTAATTAACCATTATACATTAGAAATAATAATTACAGTAATAATTAGACAGAAAAGTTATTAAAATAAATTATATTAATAACTACAATGTAATAAAATCTTGCTAGCTTTACTAATATATGAACGCAGAATAAATTCTAGCTACTCAGTTGATAAACAACTAGACTTCTATAGACGCACACAATATTTTAACAGGCGACACTTCCCAACTATTGTTACGGTTTAGCCTAAACTGCGCTGTAAAATTCCTAATTAAAATTTGAAAATTTTACCACCTATAGAATAGATTAGTACCCTATTTATATTTTATAAATACCCTTTTAAAATATTACATTCTATAAATACCCTTTTTAGTTTATAGCAAAAAATTTAAATTTAATTCCATCCTAAAATTAAGGCTTAATATATGCTACAAAATATTTTTCTATCTCATTTTTTTTTATTTTCTCTCACCTAATTAGCGTATATCTCCTCTCATCAGCTTTTCTCTCTCTTCTTCAATACACTTTTCCCTCTTCTCCCACAAACACACGTTCCATACACTTCAAAAACCCTCCTCCGCCATTATCGCCTATACTTCTCCGCCATTATCACCCCACACGCCATTCTTCTTCGCAACTGTTCTCAAGCGTATTTTGACGGGCAAGTTGGTTCTCAAGTGTTTTTTAGAGCTTCACGGTTGTATTTTGGAAATCTTCTCCCCGTATGTAATTCAACTACTTCGAAATTGTTTTTTCATTAGTTTGTTTCTATAAGTTTTTTTAGCGAATTTACACAATTTTCTGATATATCTTCCATTTGTATTGTTAATCACCAGGATTCTTTGAGTTTTCTCTCTAATGTCGGATGCAACGCCACTCAACAGACTACCCAGAGGTATACCCACCAAAATTCTCTATTTTGATGGGCCCTCTTTCTCGTTGCAACTGACTCAAGCGGAGAAAGATTTTGCAGGTTTATCAGCATCCAAAGTTGATGAAAGAAGAAGTAAATTACACAATGACAAGTTGAAAGAAGTCCAAGTTGATGAAGCTTCAAAAGAAACCAAAAATCAAGTTGGCTCAAAGAGGAAAAAACCTATGAAAGATTCAAGAAACCAAAAGGTAATTGGTATTTGTTACATGTATTCTGTTGTATTCATATGTATCTTCTTGTATTTTTGTACCTTTTTGTATAGTGTATTCTGTTTCTTCTATAGTATTTTTATGTATTCATGTGTATTTGGTTGTTTCCAACAGTTCATTTTTAATGTAATTTTACATGTATTCATATGTATTCATATGTATTTAGCGTTTGCTAATGTATATTTGCGATAATTCAATTGTCCAGTTTGACCTCAAATGTATTCATATGCATTCATATGTATTCAGGTATATTCATCTTAAATATTTTGTATTATATCTGTATGTTACAAAGTATGTTAGCATATATTTAGCCTTGTCACTGTATCTAGTCTTCTGTAAGTGTTTGTAGTTGTCTGACATGCATTTAGCCTTGTCACTGTATCATGTCTTACATGTATTCCAAAAAAACTTAATATGTATTTTTGCAATGTATTCATCTGTATTAACATGTATCTTTCAATGTTCATTGCAGGGAATTGATTTGTTTGTGAAACACCAGCCAAAATTAGCACCCCATATTAGTAGTTACACTAACACTGATATAGTATCCCAGCTAAAAGATAAGCTTACTCTCGATCAGTTCCAACAATTCGGCAATACATGTTTTGGCTCATTTCTTCAAATGAAGCGATTTGATGTTCAACATCAACTCTTCAGATGCTTCATGGCTCGACAGTTAAACGGCACTCCAAATAATGTATTTGCAGTATACGTCAATGGTACTGAATTACATTTCACATTAAGGGAGTTTGTGCTTGTGACTGGCCTCAAATGTATAGGTAAAGATGAAGATTTTGAGTTTAGTGAAACTCCTCCTAACCGGTTTATTGCGACTTATTTTAGAAGTGCTAATACTGTAAAGAAGAAACACTTGAGACAATACTTCAATGACAAGGCATGGGGCCCCGACAATGATGAGAATGCTTTGAAGATATCTTTGTTGTATTTCATCTACACCTTTATATTTTCATCTGAGAAGAATAGTGCAACTATACCGAGGCTAGATTTTGACTTAGTAGAGAGTGGGCGCTATTCTGAATATCATTGAGGTATTAAAGCATTTGAGCTGTTGATAAACTCGATTAGCAAGAAGATGGATACTTTGAAGAAGTATTATAGGATAGCTGGGATGCCCCTAGCTATGCAGGTGTGGTTTTATGAGTACTGTTCTTCTGTTGATTCCAAAATTGCAGTCCCAGTCTGCGACGTGGTCCCCAGAATACTCAATTGGAGAACCACCGGAAATCAGCCAACATTTTCTTATCTGACGAACGACATGTTCAAAGACACCAGAAACACGGTAATATACAAATGTTATCAATATTCTAAAGATAATTAAACACAAATACATCTATAATTTGCATACATTTGCATTCAGTTAGAGGGGAAGCCTACTGTAATATACAATGGATTCATAAGCTTATATACATGAATACTTGCATACATATTAATACATTTTAAATAAAACAGAGTTAAATACACCTGAATATAGCATTATACAGTTATGCATTAATATGTTTTTTGTAAGTCATATCTTATTTTTGTTCACAGATTGTGTTCAAGGACATCACTCCTCTATATATAGAGCTTGCTATTATTCAGATTCCTCAAGTGTGCGCCGATATTGAGAAAATACCTACTCCTGCGCATTCAGACAAATCGGGATAGGATACGGATGACTTTTCTCCTACACCCAATCTTCAATCTAAGAAGAAACATGTTGAAAGTGTTGGTCCATCTTCATCACCGACACATAAGAAGGTCAAGGAACAGGCCAAGATTCCTACAAAAGAACCAGAATATCAGCCCAAAGTCCCTCCTGTTTGTGTTTCTGACATTGGACATAAACTTGTGCATGACCATCAGCTCCCAGAAGGCCAAAATGAGGAAGTATCTTCTTTGAGGAAAGACCTAAAATCATTCAAAGAATACGTGAGTATTTACCCACCGATTAATCAATAAAGTTTGATAGCTATGTGTTTTAGTATTTTTCTAACTATTTTGTACTGTTAAGGTTGTTGGAGAGTTCAAGTCTCTAAGGACATTGATCAATGATAACTTCAAGATGCTTTCAGACCAACTTCAACAAAATCAGCAAACTGAACCCATAGTGAGACATGATGGTGGCATTGACACAGATGTCGGAGATAATAATGAGGTATAAAAGCAGTTATCATATTGAACATATGTATTTAGCTGTATTCATATATGTTTTAATCTAGCCATTTTACTGATGTATTTAA